CCCCCCCCCCCCCCGTCCTTCTCTCCGTCATCTCTAACATCTGCGCGATGTCGATTTGAAAGACTTTGGGGCCGCGGTTGGCGTGTTTGTCCCCACGTTCCGGCAAAAAAAGACCGAATCCTGGGCAGGGGAGCCTGTATTTGTGTGTGCGCGTCAGCTGCAGGCGAAAGGGTCCTTCTGCGAACAGCTGTTCTTTCTGTTTGAACAGCTGGCACGGCTGGCGGTGTGTCAGGGATCCCAGTAGAGCCATGGGAGAACCTGGCTCCCTTCTGGTTTTTTTTTTCTTTCTTTCATTCTTTTTTTTTTAAATTATTTTTATGAATGGAGCTGTGTTGGCGTAGCAGCCCTAATTCCCGGAAGCCGGAAAAAAAAAAAAAGGCGAACAGGCTGATCTATATCAACCTTTTGAACCGCCTGTTTCTCTCAACAGAGGTGGCTCTGGGTGGTGCCCAGTTTAATCCATGCAACCGTTGGTTCTGGGCGTGGTCTATCCCAGTGTTGGCGAACCTTTTCGGCACCGAGTGCGCGCAGGTGGGGGAGCACTGGAGACTGGAACAGTAGCTTCCCAGCACGCATGCATGCGCTGGGAAGCTGAGCGGCTGGTTTCCGGCCTAGCCTGCGCACCAGCCATCTGGCCTGCCGGTTTCTGGTGTGCATGTGCGTGCAAAGACTGGCAACTGAACCCGGAAGACGAGTGACGGCTGCATGCCTGGAGAGATGGCTCTGCGTGCCACTTCCGGCCTGCGTCCCATAGGTCCGCCATCACGGGTCTATCCACTTGCAGGATGAAAGCCTCTTCCCACCCATGCTTCCAACCCAATACGGTCTTGGCCAATGGGGCCTGCTGCGCTTGCCAACTCCGTTGATCCATCTTGCTTGAGGTCTCTTTCTGTGGAATGCTTTCGAACAGGTGGGGCCCATCAGGCCGTAAGTGCGAAAACGAGGCACCTGTCACTGTTTTTCAACCCTGTTGTCACCCTGAACGGTCACTAAACGAACTGTGGTAAGTCGAAGTCTGCCTGTAGTTCATCCCTGATCTGCTTGTCCTCCCTTTTTTTTCCGTCCCCTCCCAAATCCAGGGCCACACCAAGGGGCCCTTCCTGGTCAGCGCCCCTCTGTCCACCATCATCAATTGGGAACGCGAGTTTCAGATGTGGGCGCCAAATTTCTACGTCGTAACCTACACAGGAGACAAGGACAGCCGTTCAATCATCCGGGAGAATGAGTTTTCCTTCGAGGACAACGCCATCAAAGGCGGGAAGAAAGCCTTTAAAATGAAGGCAAGCTAAAGAGAATAGATATCCATATCTCCTGATGTACTCTTGTTTCGCCAAAATAAGACCCTTATATTTTGTTTTTTCCACCAAAAAGAGGCGCCAGGTCTTATCTCGGGGGCGGGGGGGGGGGGAGGAATTCATCCACTGACTTAACCTCACTCGTGTGCGTCACCCCGGCCTCCTTTTCGCTGTTAGAGGCCTTCAGGAATTTCTTCTGCGGCTGTCAAGGCTTTTCTGAAGCCTCTGCAGCTGATAACAGAGTTCTGGATTGTTCCGGGGCTTTGTCATCATCTACAGAGACCTTCAGAAAAGACTTGCCAGCCTTGCCGGCTGCAGAAGAAACGGGGCGGCAAGGCAGGTGTGTTAGGGTGTGCGAGGCTTGGCTGCAACTATCCAAAGGTAAGTAGGAGGGCAGCTCCATCCCCCACATCCCCACCCTAGTTTAATTTTTACCCGACCGCTCTGGAGTGGGTGGGATCTTAATTAGGGCTTCTTTGAGTGCAGGGAGTAGGGCTGATATTGGGTGCATGTGTAAAAAATCAAGCCAGGACTTACTTGCAGGGTTGGTTGTATGTTTTGGGAAACAGGGTATTCCTGTTTGCCTGTCTCGACGGCTTTCCATAAAACTGGCAACAGGTGTCCACTTTGAAATGACAGTGGCCCAAGAAAATAGGGGTTTGTTCAACAATGCCAGGCTGGGCTGTCGTTTTGTGTTGATTTTCTGGGCCAGCAACAGTTTTAGGCAACCTGGGTGAAGGGAAATAAGCCCTTAATTGAGGCCACGTCTATTTCTTCTCTGCCCCCCCACACCCCGTTGTTGAGAGGAGCATGAAACATTTAAGTTCATTCTGGGTTTATTTATTTCATTTTAAGCTTACTTAAGCTTATTTTTGACCCTTAAGTCCTTCCTCCTATTTTCCTCACCACGACAACCCTGTGAAGTGTGTTAGGCTGAGAGAGGGGAATTGTCCAACTGGCCCAAGGTGAGCCAGGGGCTTTCATGCCTAAGACGGGACTAGAACTCCCTGCCTCCTGGTGATGGGCTCAAAGTCACCCAGCCGGCTTTCACGCCTAAGGCGGGACTACAATTCCCAGCCTCCCACTTTTTATCGTCTGGTGCCTTCACCCCTAGACCAAACTGGCTCTGCGAGGAAAGTTTGCGAGGCGCATATTAAACGTTTGAGTTTGACCCCTTCCTGAGGGTGGGTGGGGGGGAAGGATGGTCACATTGCCTGTCTACCCTAGACAGGTGAGTGGAGCTGGTGACAGCCTCCTCCTCCTCCTCCTCCTCCTCCTCCTCCTCCTCCTCCTCCTCCTCTCTTTCCCTCCCTCCCCGCAGAGAGAGGCTCAGGTCAAGTTCCATGTCCTCCTGACGTCCTACGAGCTGGTCACCATTGACCAGGCTGCCTTGGCCTCCATCCGCTGGGCCTGCCTTGTGGTCGATGAAGCTCACCGGCTCAAAAACAACCAGTCCAAGGTGAGAAGGGCGGGTTTGCCCAAAGGGGGGGGGGGGGGGGGGGGGGGAGGAAGAGGAGGAGGAGGAGGAAGAGGAGGCTGAGGGCCCCTTGATCGCTCCCCGCTCTCGATTTCAGTTCTTCAGGGTGCTCAACGGTTACAAGATCGACCACAAGCTGCTCCTGACGGGGACACCTTTGCAGAACAACTTGGAGGAGCTCTTCCACCTGCTGAACTTCCTCACTCCGGAGAGGTTCAAGTACGCCCCCGCTTTCTTCCCTTCCGCTGCCGAACTCAGAATAGACCCGGAAAGCAGGGGGGTGGGCTTCAAAAATTTTACCAAGGGGGTCTCTGCCTGGTGGCTGGGTGGGCGTGGCCTCGCCGGCCTCCTGCATCACAGCCAGCGGGCGGCAGGGGGGCTGTTTTCATCCTCCCCTGGCTGCGGGAGGCTCTTCGGAAGCTGGACGCAGGCCCATTTCCGGCCTTCCCGAACTTCTGGGGCGGGGGGGCTGTTTTTCGCCCTCCCCGAGCCTCCCGCGCACCCCCTGCACTTACCTGCATCCAAAACGGGCCACGTGGGGGCTCCGGGGAGGGGAGGGGTGGGCGAGTGAGGGAGAGAGAAGCAGTGAGATTTCTGCCTCCCCCTTCTCCTCCTTTCTTAGAGATGGAGGATAAAAACAGGCCTGTTACTTCCCCTCTCTTTAATTACCAGGGAGTCCTAGGGGTTAGATCAGAGGTCTCCAACCTTGGCAACTTTAAGGCTTATGGACTCCGACCAGGCTGGGGAATTAGCAGAATAAGAGAGTTGGAAGGGGCCTTTGGAGGTCTTCTAGTCCCAAACGCCCTGCCCAGACAGGAAAAACGAAACAAATGGCTGTCCAATCTCTTCTTAAAAGCCTCCAGCGTTGGGGTACCCGCAACTTCTGGCGGCAAATGCAGTTCCACTGGTGAATCGTCCCCGTCGTTTCTCCTGAATTCCAGGTTCCTTCTCTCCTTGATGAGTTTCCATCCGTTGCTTCTTGTCCTGCCTTTCGGGGCTTTGGAGAATAGGTGGGCCCCCTTCCTCTTCTTGGTGGCAGCCCCTCAAATACCAGAATTCTGCTGTCTGGTCACCCCCTGGCCCTTCCTTTCGCGAGACTAGACAAAAACTGAGTTTGATGCAGTATTGAGGCTGGAACGATGGGCTACCAGCTCCGAAGGTGGTTTTAGCCTCCAGCCCCCTAATCTTCTTCTCCCCACAACCCTTTCCAGAGTCTCAAACCTCTTTTTTTTAAAAAAAATATTGTGCTGACCTGGGAAGTTGAAGCCCACAAATCTTCAAAGGTTGCCAAGGTTGGACACCCCTGAATCCTAGAGGAAGCAGGGGTATTCTTGCCAACCCAAAAACAACTGGATACCTTGGCAACACTTGAAGGGGCCCTGCAAGAGCCCATCACCCCCTTGATGGTATCACCCGGGTATGTGTGTGGCGGCTCGGAGCTGACTTGGGGGAAACTTTTAACAAAATTGATTCTCTTTTCGCAAAGTTTTGTGTCTGGCAAAACGGCTCCCTCTCCTGGCCAGATTGGGTATAGCCGACATTCTGGTGGTTTCTGTCCGCTTGCCCTGCGTTGTCGTTGATGGTCCTTCAGATCCTTTTTGGCCTTAGAAGATTTTAGGGGTGAGGCCTCCCATCCCACCGACAGAAGCATGGCAGCGATCTGCTTAACAACCAGGGCAAAACCAAAAAAGACGGAAAGAAGGATCTCGACAGACTCGAACCCTTGTATCTAACAAAAGGAAATTCAGTGTAGAGAAAAGTAAAGTCCTACACTTAGGCAAGAAAAACCAAAAGGACCCATATAATCTGGGTGAAACCAGGCTCAGTAGCAGGAACTGTGAGAGGGATCTTGGAGTCTTAGTGGACATCCAGCTAAATAGGAGCCAGCCGTGTGCAGCAGCAGCAACCAAAAAAGCTAATGCAATCCTAAATTGCATTAACAGAAGGATACAATCTAGATCAAGTACTAATACCATTCTGTAAAGCCTTAGTAAGGCCACACCTAGAGTCCTGCATCCCGTTTTGGTCACCACACTATAAAAAAGATGTTGAGACTCTAGAAAAAGTGCAGAGAAGAGCAACCAGGATGATGAGGGGACTGGAGACTCAAACCTACGATGGACGGTTGCAGGAACTGGGCCTGGCTAGTCTAGGGAAGAGGACCAGGGAGACAGGAGAGCAGCCTTCCAATATTTGAGGGGCTGCCACAGGGAGGAGGAAGGGGGTCAAGCTATTTTCCGAGACACCCAAATGCCAGACAAGGAACAAAGGATGGAAACTGAACAAGGAGAGATTCAACCTGGAAATAAGGAGAAACTTTCTGACAGGGAGAACGATCAACCAGTGAAACAGAAGTTGCCCTCAGAACTTGTGGGAGCTTCATCCCTGGAGGCTTCCAAGAAGAGACAGGACTGCCCTCTGTCAGAAATAGTGTAGGGTCTTCTGCTTGGACAGGGGGGTTGGACTACATGACCTACAAGGTCCCTTCCAACTCTGCTAATCCCCCAGGGAGAACCATCAACTGATGGAACGGAAGTTGCCCTCGGAAGTTGTGGGAGCTTCATCCCTGGAGGCTTTCAAGAAGAGACTGAGACTGCTATCGGTCAGAAATGGTAGAGGGTCTCCCACTTGGGTGGGGGGTTGGACTAGATGACCTACAAGGTCCCTTCCAACTCTGTTAATCTGTTAAAATTCAGGCATGACTGGCTTTCCAACCAAGGGGAATTCTCATCCCTTATTGGGATCGTAAATCTAGGACTAAACCGTACACAGGCCGTCCTTGAGTTATGACCATGATGATGCCCGAAATTCATGTTGCCCACTAAAAACAGTCGCTAAGTGAGTTTAGTCCCCTTTCACGCATTTCCTTGCCCCGGTTGCTGAAGTGAGCCCCCGCAGTTATTAACTTAGTCACACGGCTGTTGAAGCAAAT